AGCTGAAACAATGAAATAAATATAATTTAGCTAAAACTATGAAATAAATACAATTTTTAGCTAAAACAATAAAATAAACTAAAACAGTGAAATAAATACAACTTAACCAAAACAATGAAAGGAATACAATTTAGCTAAAACTATGAAATAAATACAATTTTACTAAGCAACGAATTAAATACAATTTAACTAAGCAACGAACTAAATACAATTTAACTAAGCAACGAACTAAATACAATTTAACTAAGCCACAAACTAAATACAATTTAACTAAGCAACGAACTAAATACAATTCAACTGGAACAATTAAACAGACAATATAAAATTAAAGCAATCGAGTAGACGCGATTTAATGGAAACAATCAAGCCGGCAGAATTTCATTGAATATCGAAACAAGAATCTTGGAGCGTGTCTCTCGACTAGAGAATCGAATGTTCTCAGTCTCGACCTTTACGTTTGTGTCGCTCATCGAAAACATAGTCTGCGAATGAAACAACGTTTCCACAGCAACGGGGAAAGCTTGCGAGTCGGTGCCTCTCGTCAGCAATTAGATGTGTCACGAGTGGAACGAGACAGTCGACTCGTCTTCATTACGGTGATTTATTCGTATAAAGCTCGCGACTTATTCCGTAACTTGTTGATGCAAATAAAGCTCAACGGTGGCGTTCGGGACCCCCCGCGGAGAGCAAATGAGAGGCCTCGTTTCACTGGATCGATTTAATTAGGCTCGTGCTGGTCACAATTTATTTTTATTAGCCGGATACCCCGTGACGGGGGTGGCTCCCGCGCCCATCAGCTACACGGGTCCCATAACGCAACCCGTGACAAACTTCTATGGGAAACGTATCGTGCCATGGGATATCGATACGTGTGTCAGTTATTCATTGTCTAGTTACAGAGGAAAAATCATTTTACGTCCGCGTAAAAAATATGCGAGAAAATCGGAACTAAGAGATATCGAACCGTAATGTTGGTAACAATAGTTTATCAATTTATTAAAGATAGAATTACGACATTAACATAATAATTTTCTATGCTAATTCCACGCGCAATATTTTCGACACGTTACAATTTTAATCGTCTCTAAAAATTCTCATTCATCGTTCGATTATTCAGTTGCCTGTCATTTTAATCACAATGAGCCGTACGCATCGTTATTGTTATTATTAGACCACGGATTTTACGCATTTGTTGGCAAAAATTGACAGAAGTTATAGAATAGCGGAAACGTTGAAAGAATCATAAAAATATTTTTACGGTATTTTGAGTTGATTGGAACTATTAAAGGAACAAATACATTTTTATTCAACGCTTGTTTTACGAAATTGTTGAACAAAGTTTTTATTTTGCATAAAAATCCGCAGTCTAGTTACTATCGATATGAGACAAATATTTTTAGTTATAAGTAGATCGGTGAAAAATGTCTTCTGCATCAATTGCAAGATATGGAAGCCGAGTACAATTGGATAATAATTTTAATAATTTAATAATCTTCTAAACAACAAACATAGGTTTGTTACATATATCATATATGTTGGTAGATATTACTTGTTAGTGTTAATTTATAAATCTTTATTGAACACTGCTTAAGAAAATTACAAATTATTGCAAGTCCTTCTGTATCGTTAAATAATAAACATGATTTCCTTACTGATTTTTTCGAAAGAATTTTTCAACTACTTGTCAATTTGGTTGTTTGACATCAAACATTATTTCTGCAAAATTGAAATTCTATCGTGAAGCGACTGATCCAATGTATTTTGATAGAAACATTAATTTACGAAATGAAGTTAACAAAGTATGAGAGGTTTTGATAATTTGCGACAACTAAAAGGTGAAAAACGTTCCTCAGCGTAGCGTATAATTACGCGTTCGAATAGAATGGTAATTCTCTCACGGCAAACACAATGACCAATCCGTTGCAACTTGTTGCACTTGATTCGGCTGTAAAATGAAAATGGTATATACGCATAAAATCCGTTATGCTCTTCATAATGGAGCTCGTTGTTCAGATATTTTGGAACATCCATTCTCATTATTACCAACTTTATTGCTAATTGCTTTCATTGCTGATTTACCGAGAACGAGTGAGTCCTTTTTTTTCTATTTAAATTCACTGATAATTAATTTGTTCAACTTTTGTTCACTTTGTGAAAAAGTAGTTGCTCTATTAATCACTGTTAGAAAATTTTCACATATTTTTAATTTTCACTTTAGTTCAAGATAATTTCGTCATTTAATGAGAACATTTAAAAAACAAAACTTTTCGACATTTTTCTGGTTGCTTTGAAATTGGGCAAAAATCTCATTTAAATAATAAACGTTAATTAACATATCTTACAACGATTTAAACACAGAACGGCCACTAATAACCTGTGACGTCCATGCGACTTTAAACACATAAAAAAATGAACTATTACTTATGTACATATGTATATAAAATTTTTTTTATTAAATGCTATAAATGAAGACTATACGAACTGTCCTACAATTATAATAAAGTCACAAATTTAGAACAACTTGAATCCAGCTCAAAGAAAAACCAACGATTTAATAACAAATGATTTAAGCAATGGAAATAGATAAGGGGGAGATGGTAGCCGCGAACGTGACGAAGTGAAATTTCAAAAGAAAAGTGATGGATTTCGCGCGAACAGCGGAACACGTAGCCTTAACGCATAGAAATAGATAGGCGAACGATCCGCTCTGTTCTCGCGCGGCAAATAAAATCCGCGAATTCACTTCGCCTTGTTGGCAGCGCGCGAAGCTACGTAACCAGCGCAGCGTAAACAGTTTAAAAGCTCTTCTGACGAACTTATTTCTGTGTTTCAGTCGAGTGATTCCGGTGGTTTCCCTGCAGGCAGATCACCCCAGGCAGTCACGATGGCCACCCTATCCTTGCGTATCTACATCCCGGAGAAAAACGCCACGAAGACGATGCAATTCGACCCGAGCACATCCGTTTACGACGCTTGCCGTATTATCAGGGAGAAGCTCGTCGAAGCGAGCAACATGGGCCAACGTAAGCTCTGCTACTTTTACCTAAAATATTCAGCGACCTATGGTAAACGCGCGCAGAGACGCGGAACACGCGAACGTGTCCTCGTCGAGGGAACGATATTCATGGCGACGTTAATGAATATAATTCAATGGCCGGCCGATGCAACACGGTTTTTATTAATCTCGAAATTACAGGGATTGCGAATTTATGTTAATTTCAGTTTTGCGTCGGCGGACGGACGAAATTTATTTAAACGGGCCAATTTCACAACGACGCACAGTTTACGGTGTTTGTGACCGGATTCACGGATTTTACAGAGTTTTCACCAGAATTGATCGGTGCGAAACTGAATTATGAAAAGATTCAACGGATTTTATGGTACAGAGTGTCTCAAAACTGTAGATAGGAATTTAGGACCGTAAAATAAACAAATGTTCGATGTGGAAGTATCCTTGCAAATGTTTCTGTCAAGAGATATTTACTAACGAAGTTGTGGAAATTGTTTTTGTGGCGAGAGTGGGTTAAAATTACAGTGAATACTTTTTATTAAAAAAGCTTAATAATATTTTTAAAAATCGGCCTTCGTTTTCGAGACATTTTGATTCCAAGTTTATATAGAATGTTCATTTGACAACTTTAAATCTAAATATCGCGTGAACGACACATTTTCCGAAAAAATATTAAGAAGAAAATTTACTGGATTTAAAAAGAGAATAAATTCTTGTATGGAACATTTCTTGATCAGGTTTTATCTAATAAGGATATTTAATAAAATGAGAGATCTGTTTACTTGCGAAATTTCATTTATTGTTTTTATAAGTAAATGCTGATAAATTCATAACAATCGCACTTTTTCGCATTGCTTGCTAGAACAAACTGTAGGTAATTATTATAGGTAATTATTATATTACGTAATATATATTATATATATATTATATATAATATTATTATATTATTATATATTATTATATGATAATTATTTTGCACAGCATATGTAATAGTTACAGTTATCTTTAGGAATAAATAGAGTAACTTTTTCAGTAACATACGTGATAAACTTTACTTATTTCGATAAATTTTATTAACTTTAATTATTTCGATAAATAACTTTTGTCAGAAGCACATTTGCGAGCATGCTCTTCCAAAAGAAAAATTTATTTGTTTCACGGTTCTAAATTCGCATCTAAAGTTTGTCGGTTTAACCCCGAAACACCCTATATATTGTCTGTTTACAGGATTAAAGTCGCGTCGACGCGACGCGCCTTGATCAATCGATGTTAGTTAATCCTCTATAGCCGGAACTGTTTTTATACCGCTTCAAAATAATTTATGTATCTTAAAATTGTTGAATAGCAACGACTATATATATATATACATAAATTAACAACGAATTTATATAACTTTTAATCAAAGTGAATTTACTCGGACGTATGAAGTAAAATCTGAAAATTATGTTGCTAAATCNTAAGAAGTAAAGTTACTGGATTTAAAAAGAGAATAAATTCTTGTATGGAACATTTCTTGATCAGGTTTTATCTAATAAGGATATTTAATAAAATGAGAGATCTGTTTACTTGCGAAATTTCATTTATTGTTTTTATAAGTAAATGCTGATAAATTCATAACAATCGCACTTTTTCGCATTGCTTGCTAGAACAAACTGTAGGTAATTATTATAGGTAATTATTATATTACGTAATATATATTATATATATATTATATATAATATTATTATATTATTATATATTATTATATGATAATTATTTTGCACAGCATATGTAATAGTTACAGTTATCTTTAGGAATAAATAGAGTAACTTTTTCAGTAACATACGTGATAAACTTTACTTATTTCGATAAATTTTATTAACTTTAATTATTTCGATAAATAACTTTTGTCAGAAGCACATTTGCGAGCATGCTCTTCCAAAAGAAAAATTTATTTGTTTCACGGTTCTAAATTCGCATCTAAAGTTTGTCGGTTTAACCCCGAAACACCCTATATATTGTCTGTTTACAGGATTAAAGTCGCGTCGACGCGACGCGCCTTGATCAATCGATGTTAGTTAATCCTCTATAGCCGGAACTGTTTTTATACCGCTTCAAAATAATTTATGTATCTTAAAATTGTTGAATAGCAACGACTATATATATATATACATAAATTAACAACGAATTTATATAACTTTTAATCAAAGTGAATTTACTCGGACGTATGAAGTAAAATCTGAAAATTATGTTGCTAAATCTGTTCGGTGTTAAAAGAGGAACTGCAGAACAAAATCCTTTTACCATATTCTAGATGAAAGTGAGGTTACATTCGCGTACATTTCACAGTGTTCATAAACGTATAAAATGTGAAGCATATAGAAGACATTGATAAAAAACTTTCACGTACTTTCAGGTTAAAAATACTAAAGAATAAAATAATACTGAATTATATTGAGCTTTTCAATAATATTCCTTCATTAATCATTTTTTTAAAGAAATCTCCATTCCGTCAATACTTCCAGTTTGTCATTTCTTCTAAAATTATTTACGATGACTTTTATAATCATTGACGAACAAAAGCGTATTTTTCTCCTTTCTTGAATAAAATTTGACAGCTAATGAATCCAATACAGAAGTAAATTAGAAGTAACGAACGTTTTAAGATAGTTCACCCTGTTCCAAGAACCTTTTTCATTATTTCTCATGTTCCTCGAATGAGATCTTCCTCGATGTATAGTCCTCGCTCGACAAGAAGGCACCTTTGTGTATACGTTCCCCCTCCACTGCCGCAACTAGTAAGAGGGCAAACACAACGGTGCTTTCTTGTCGCGCGAAGATCATACGTTCTAAAATAATTGTACCTTCTTCCAAAACGCTTCTTTGACTTTTCCTCATGTTCCTCTCGCGAGACACTTCTCAACAACTTCTCAGACGCTTTCTAAAATAGTTCTACCTCGTTCTAAACTGCATTGCGATTGTTTCACGAGATTTCTAAAAATCGAATTTAATTCGTCAGCGTTCGATTTTGTACGTGTTTGATTCGCAAACCGGCGAGTTCCACTCGAAATATGTCGAACATGATCAGATAAAGGGTGAAAAAGCAGCAGTGTCCAGATGATTATTGCCGGGGTATACAGAAAATTCAAATGACGTAGAACTACGTCGCTGGTATTCAGCGAAAGAATTTGATACGACTTAGAACTACGTTTCCCGTATTCAGCTGAACACTTAGGCTTTAGCTTGCATTAACGGCCATTTAATAGAGACCTTGAGACGGCTCAAGATTACATCGCGAAAGCGTTAAACAAATAAATCGAACAACACTCTTGTTTCCGGTCCCGTTGATCCGATAACGATCGTTCCCGTTGCAGCCAAGGACTACGGACTATTCCTTGCCGACGAGGACGTCAAGAAAGGAGTCTGGCTGGAGCCAGGACGGAATCTCGATTATTACATTCTGAGGAACAGCGATCTTCTCGAGTACCGGCGCAAACTGCGGACCCTCAGAGTGCGCATGCTGGATGGAACGCTGAAGACACTGCTAGTGGATGATAGTCAACCCGTCGCCAATCTCATGGTAGTAATTTGCACGAAGATAGGCATCACGAATCATGACGAATACTCGCTGGTGCGGGAGCTGGCCGACGAGGAGACCGAGAATCAAAAGCCGGGCAATTTCGGCACCCTCACCCTCAAGAGAAAGAAGGAGGAGAAAGGCGAACGGGACGCGAAGATGGACCAGCTCAGGAAGAAACTGAAGACCGATGATGAAGGTAACGATACCGGAAATCATTTCGCGATTGAACTTTAATCCGTTCGTTTCGCGGAAACCTGTCTTCTTCGTTTGGCAGTTCTATCGCGTTACGTTTCTCCGTTAACGCTTTATCTACCGGCAGTTTTCTGACTGTTCTTCTTTCGTAGCGGGGATTTTCACAGTCGACGATTTCTTGTACCAGTGTTCGAAAGCGACGACAATTGCATCGATGGTTCAACAAATTGTCTGGATTACTGTGATCTGACAACTTCTTTCGAAACTGTTGTTTGAAACAAGATTGTCGAACTTTATTTGCAGTGGTGTGAATAATTATGGACTCAAGAGTAACTTTTATGCTCTTAGTGATATTTAAACGAAAACGATATATCGTATTTATTTATTTATTTATTTCTATTTCTTATTTTCTCTATACAAATATAGTCTTTTTTTCTTGGTTTTTGTTTGAATATCTGTAACAATGTGAAAGCTATTTTGTGATCCTATAATTACGCACACCACTGTACGTACAATGCAGTCATCGAAAAGCCTATTACATAATAGGCTTCCGGTAAATGGAGCGTTGATTGAAGTTGTTCTTGTTTTCTTTTTATTCATATTAATTGCCAAATTAAATGGTATCTAGCGAATCAATTCAATGTTACAGATAGGTTATCGATTTTGTATTCAAAATGGATTTTGCAAATCGAATTCAGAAGCAAATTATTTAATTATTTTAATCAGTTAAAAATATTACATCGACACATTCGTAGTTCTTTTAATCTTTCTTATGCTCTCTTTTGTCATAAATACATCAAATCTATAATGTAATAACAAACATAATATCATCTATTACTGTCTCTAATAATACAACCATTTTCTTCCAGCAATGTACCGACGAAATTAAAATTTAGAGTTCAGTCATTTCAATTTCACGGAAATTAACACTAAACGTACCAAGCGGGGTCAAATGACCCCTTCCAAAATTTGCTTTTAAATTGTACATTCATTGTTATTCTTTTCGTTCATTTGACTTTTTGTAAATTCTTATGTCATCGGATTGTTCAATTTCTCGCTTTTCGTTTTTTCGTAGCTAATTTTTTCTAACGAAAAATTTTTTACCTACCTTACGTACCATGAGGGGTCATTTGACCCCATACGAAGTTTAGTATTTTTCAGCAATTTTCTAACTGAAACCTTAGTTTTAAATTCAGATACCCTTCTCAAATGACTTTCATTTATCGGATCCTGACATGCGTGTCGTAAGTAAGTAAACAGTTAACAGAACATACTCTTATCAGGGATTCACAAAACTCCCTCCAATGAGTTTTATAACCTTGACATAACCTCCAATGAGTTTTCTGTAGCCAAACGAAATAGAAGTGCAGTCGTATATTGAGAGTCGCAGAGTAAACATCAGTTTTAGTTATATCTTGACAATTTCTGTTACATTCAATTGGACTTACGTTTCACTGCAACCCCCAATATGTCCGCACGGTCAGTGAGAGAGTTGGAAAGAATTCGACAAATAAGTGAAGTGAATTCGGGTGAAGAAGTTTCAATACCAGAAGATGATCAAACTGAAAGTCGAAGTGATTCTGCAGACAATGAGGAAACACAGGATGATGATGTGACTGCCGATGAAACTGGATATTTTATGAATCTCCATAGAGGACAGAGGCGCCGAAGATTTTTATCGGATTCTGAAAGTGATAGTGAACAGAATTTTGAAGACACTGTCACTGCTATTGATGGAACTGTTTGGCAGCGAATCCGAGAAGGACCGGCAATCGGAAGACCATCGCTTACTTTCAGAGAAGTATCAGGACCAACGGCATATGCCAAAAGAAATATTATGTCTGGTAAAGTCTCATCTGCATTTTCGGTGATAATAGATCACACAATTATTGAAAACATAAAGAAATATACAGAAGCAGAAGCTTTACGAGTTTTGGAGACTGCATGGGATCTGCCTATACAAAAATTATATGCATTCATTGGAGTATTATATGCACGTGGCGCCTACCAGGCAAAAAATTTACCCATTTCCTTCCTGTGGAATTCGAAATGGGGACCTCCCTTTTTTTCAAAAGCAATGACTAGAAACACCTTCTCAGAAATTTTGAGATTTCTGCGGTTCGACGACAGAAGCCAACGAATCCAACGTTTGAGTGTGGACAAATTTGCTCTCATTTCAGAGGTATGGAAGAAATTCATAGAAAATTGCCAGAGTTGTTATAAGCCAGGCGCGGATCTCAGCATTGATGAGCAACTCTTTCCGACAAAAACTAGGTGCAAATTTACCCAATTCATGCCAAACAAACCCGACAAATTTGGTATAAAATTTTGGCTGGCATCTGATGTAAAAACCAAATACGTTGTCAACGGTATGCCTTATTTAGGACGTGAGGAAACCAGACCGACGTCAATACCACTCAGCGAATTTGTTGTAATGAAATTAGTTGAACGTTTCACCAACTGTAGAAGAAATATTACAACCGACAACTTTTTTACGACTGCATCTCTGGCTACAAAATTATTGACGAAAAGGACAACGTTAGTGGGAACAATGCGTGCGAACAGGAGGGAATTGCCCGCACTTGCAAAAACAACAAAAGATAATTTGAAACTTCTTTCAACAATGATATACAAATCAAATGACTGTACGCTAACGATTTATAAATCAAAACCACGAAAAAAAGTAGTAATATCGAGTACCAAACATAAAACTGTAAAAATCAAGAACAATAGAAAAAAGACACCCGAAACAATCACGTACTATAATAAAACCAAATTTGGCGTCGATATAGTTGATCAAATGGCGCGAAAGTACAGCGTAAAATCGAAGTGCAATAGATGGCCTGTACAGGTGTTCTTCAATATCTTGGATTTCGCTGGAATCAATTCGTGGATACTTTACCAGGAAACAACAGGATTGAAGCTATCAAGGCAGAGTTTCCTGTTACAAATGGCAGACGAGCTTGTCACAGAGTACCTACGATTTTGTGAAGAAGAGAAGGAAAACCATCGAGAAGGAATCTCAAGCAGCTTCAACGATAATTCACAATCTCGAAAAAAATGTCAAATAAGATTGTGTGCAGGCAACAAAACAACACAAACTTGCTCCGTTTGCAAAAAATTTGTTTACGAAGGAGAATCCCATTATATGTAAAAAATGTAATTAGTTGATTGCTTTGTTTATAACTGTTCCGGCCGAATCGCGGACCGCGGGTCAACGCACGTTCGACTTTCGATGTACGCCGTCTCGCCGTTTTTGTCGAATAAACGGCGAGGCGGCAAGACAATAACACGATCGACGTGCGTTGGCCCGACCGTCAAACGCTCGCCTCGGCCTAATGTATACGTGCGGTGTTTTTGCCTTAGGAGACAATGACCGGCCTTCGACACCTGACGATGCGTCTCCTTGAGCATCGGCCAGGTGTCTATATATACTGCCGCAAATGTGATAACGGGGATTCTCAAAAGATATCGCGAACAGTCAAGTTTAATTTAGCGCCCCTTGCGCCTATACGAATCCGTGCTTCAATTTTATAGTTCTTTCGAAGCCGTGCTTCAAATCATACGTCAAACGGAGCCGTGCTCCAAAGATTATAAACCAAAGGACTGTGGAGTCCGAATCAATAAATCGCGTGTCGTCTCCTCACGACTTCCGGCGCTGTAATTTTGTGCCGTGCGCAACAATAACAATAAAAATGTGTGTTTAATTTTATACGAAATGATGTTGCAAACTGTTTCCTTTAATAAATAAAGAATTTTTTACGAAAAATCAACGTATAAAACAATGCCGGTACGTTTAGTGTTAAAGATCATATCGCTTGTAATTGAAACATTCGTAACGATAGAATAGCGACGAGACTGCGGTCGTTCTAAAACCTTCGAAAACCTACGGTCTTCTGTGATTGGAAATTGTTTTTCATCGATCGAAGCTCTTCCTGTTTATAATTGTTTGATACACTTGCATTCTTGCCAGTGTTCCTCTATCTCTGCTTATCTAATCCACTGAGAGAAACCGTAATCTCTTTTCATAGTGAATTGGATAGATCCCAGTAAGACGTTGCGGGAGCAAGGAATAGACGAGTCGGAGACGGTGTTGCTGCGGAGGAAGTTTTTCTTCTCGGATCAAAATATCGACAGCCGGGATCCCGTGCAATTATCTCTTTTGTACGTTCAAGCAAGGGATGCAATTCTAGACGGCACGCATCCGGTTACTCAGGAGAAAGCTTGCATTTTCGCCGGGATACAATGTCAGATACAATTTGGCGACTACAAGGAGGACAAACACAAACCGGGCTTTCTCGAGTAAGATTCTGAATTAAACATTTTTACACTGACCTACACGTCGAACGAACAATACAAGTTTGTCTGAGAAATAGAAGAGAATATAGTTAAAACTGTGACTGCTTTTTGAAAAATATTTCGATCATTATTGTCAAATGTTATTTTTCAAAAAATTGTTTAATAGAATTTTGAAAAACAAAAATTACTTAGGTAGTTCACTTTGAATAGTAATCTCATGGTTAATCGAGCCTTTCTAAACGTTTTTATGTTACATTCATTGCGTTTTTTTATTATAATATTTCATTATGATTATATAATTTATTATTCAAGAGATTGTGTAATAGAATTTTGAAACAAAAATTGCTTAGATATAGCATTTTGAATACTAATCTCATGGTTACATGAATTTCTTTTTATTCAAAATTATCCAAATTAATTTTAGTTACTATTG